TGTCATCTGAAATTCATTCTCCAGTTACTTTGCTACAAGATCTTATTTGGTGAACAGATTTATTATTTTTGTTTTCATTTGAAAACAAAAATCACAAGTATTTTTACTTTCTTTTTCCAATTCTAAAACTGTGTATTCCAGTTCTCTCATTGCAATTTACTCTTTATTTAAACTTGACTTCTACTTGAGCAATCATTTTTTGGTTGCGAAATTTTTCCTTTTTGATTAATCTTTGTAATTTTTGGAACTTAACTTTTGCTTTTGTTTTTAATTGCTTAACAATGTTCTGTTTAGTTGGTAACTTGCTTTTGCTGCTTCTTCTCTGAAATTTTCTTCACTGCTCTCACACTTGAGTAACAGGTAAAAAAGCATACATAATAAGTATTTGTTATTATTATATTCATTGTGCAATTTGATAATTATAAAATATTTAATTTATCATTTGTTCCCTCTGCTCTTTTCTAACAGTTGCAAGGTTTTCTTTTGTGGATAACTACATGATTTCAACTTTATCTATCTATACATTATACAAGTCAAAGTAATTATTTAAATCTAATTTGCTTACACTTCTTTTTTCTGTAGTTTTATGACATAATAAATCCATTATACTGTATTAATAAATCTCCACAAAACTTCAAAATCTATCTCGTCCACCAATATTACACCTACAGTTATAATAAAAATAATATCAAACGAAAGCCTGAAACTCGCTCTTTCACTTAATGGTTGTAGATTTTTATAAAATTTATAAAAATTTTTCATTATTCTTGTTTAAAAAATTTTTTTTTGAGCATATTATTTTTTTTAAACAAAAAATCAAAAAATATGTGTTATGTAATGTTCATATATCAAATTTAAACAAAGGTTTATTTTACAAATCTAGAGGAGATAGAGTTTGAATTTTCATATTGAAAAAATTTACATATATTGATCGGCAAAAAATCCGCACATATGATTTTGTATATGTGTGGTCAACTATGTTTGTTATAATTTGTAACACCCCAATGATTTATTGATTTATCATGCAATTCCCCCTACCCTTAAATATTTTTTTTAAAGATGTCGAAATCTATGACAAAAAAAAGAAGTAAATCAAACAATTGGGAGGTGGTTGCTGGTTAAGTGTTTTAAGGATGGTGGTCCTTAAAAATTGGAGCAACTAAAGTTTTTATTGAAGTATGTAAATTGGATTTATTTATTATGTACAATGATGGTTAATTGACGATAATTGACTTATTGATTAATTGATCAATTTGATTTTAAACATTTTAAGATTTAAGAGATGTTTTTATTGACAAATTCATTCTTCCTGCCATTCAAGCAAATACAGTATGTGAAGTAAACTAAACCTGGCTTTTAAAAAATTCACCAATACATATATTTTTTACAAATTGACTAATACTTAAATAATTTTCTGTTTGTTAGAATATCGATTTGTTGGGTACTTCACTTGCTCATCCACCAATTGCCTGTTGACTAGTAAATATAATTTAGTTTTTATTCGCATTACCCTTGAATATGATGGATGATCTTTAATTTTTGATTGTTTATTAGATCAAACTTGCAATTCAAGAAGATTGTCAATATATTTCTCATGGATGTACAGGAAAAGGAAATGACCAAGTTTGTTTTGAATCAGCATATTTTGCTTTAAAACCTGATGTCAAGATTATTGCTCCATGGAGAATTCCAGGTTAAAAATTATCAATTTTTTATAAATTATTCCAACAGTAATTATTTATATCATTGTTTATTGTCATTTTAAAATTTATTTTTAGAATTCTATAATTGTTTTCCTGGTTGTGATTATACATGAAGTCGAAACTATTTTGACCATTTGCAGATCTGGTTGAAATAGGGTTGAAATAAGGTCGAAACTGATCTTTACTATGTAGTTGCCTCAAGTCAAAACATTTTGACTTTGGGATTTTAATTTCGACTTCATGTATAGTTGTGATGCACTTCTTGTTTATGCAGCCGAAAAGGGCATACCTATTGTTAAAGAATTGTGTTCAAAAAATGGTAATTTATATAATATCTCTCATGAAAGTAAGTATTTCATATTTATCAATTTTGGAAAAATATTTATTAAAATTATTAATTTTATACTTGCATATGCATATAACATATTATTTTCAGGCGAAATACTTAAAAACCCTGAAGGATACTCCACCAAAAGACATGTGGAGTATGACCATTGATCTGGAAGATGCTCCTGATGAATCTGAACAAATTGTAAGATATTTCCTTTTGTGTATTCAAATATATATATATTCATATCATATATATGCACAAATATAAAATAACAAATGATTCATATAATCATATATTTAAATAAATTTATAGATTATTCATTTCAAAAAAGGAAAGCATGTTAAGCTCAGGGTTGGCAAATGTGCTGTCCATTGATGGTCTATTGGTAGTCCATTGGGTCCATTAGTGTAACACTTTAACCATATTTAGTATTCTATTAATGGCAATGGACCAGTCCAAAATCCA